CACGCTGTGGGGCTTGAGGAGAATGTACCTGGGGGAGCCCAAAAAAAAAAAAAAAGCCACTCTTTAGTGGTCGGCCGAAACACCAAATGAACGGCCGTTAAAGTGACGGTCACGTTCACGGGTCCGGCACTGGGCCCAGCTATCGGCCGCGGAATTGCCCGTTCACGGGGCGCAGCCTCAGGAGCTCCGCGGAGATCAGCAACGGGTGGTTCAGCAAGGGCCCGGCTCAGCAACTTAAAAAAAAAAAAAAAAAAAAAAAAAAAAGCTATATTCTTCTCTCAATTTCACCTCACACTATCTACCTAACACTACTCCTAATTGTAGGCATACGGGACCCCGTAGCATACAGAGCCGTGTTCATGACAGAACATGCGGGGGCTGCTCCCGACGTGCAGGTGGGCGATACAGGCTAAGGGGACAGCCCGTAGCATCAGGGACCATGCCAACAGGACCAATCCCTGTGCCCCCCCTCAGGTCCCCTCCCCTATGAACATCAACAGACTCTGCTAAATGCCAATCGGGGGATCCAGTGGTCTATCTCTAGGTGGCCGGCGCCAAGCATGCCCAGGAAGGTACATGAGGCCAATGGGGATTGAACCCATGACCTCCTGAATGCCACTTGCCAGCCTTACCAACTGAGTTAGGCCGCTGGATGGCTCAGCAACTTTCGGGATTACACTCCCGAATACAAAAGAAAAAAGGAAGAAAAACAAATGAGAAAACTAAAAAAAAGAAAAAAGGGGTTCTGGACAATGGCGCACTCAAGAGAGAGAGAGAGAGAGAGCTTTCATGGGAATGAATCTTCCCACGAAAGCAGGAGGATTCATTCCCATTTGCACGTCCGAAAGCAGGGGGGGCGGGAGAGAGAGAGAGAGAGAGAGAGAGAGAGAGAGAGAGAGAGAGAGAGAGCCCCACCTCTCTCTCTCTCTCTCTCTCTCTCTCTCTCTGTGTCTGGGTCGCCCGGCACGAAACTGGAAGACTGCAAAACCAGCACGAATCTTCCTGGGATCTGCAGGAAGATTCATCTTGGTTTTGCCCTACAGCCGCCTCTCTCTCTCTCTCTCTCTCTCTCTCTCTCTCTCTCTCTCTCTCTCTCTCTCT